TCTATACAATAAGATGCAGTTAATGCGTCTTGGTTGGAAATTCAGAAAAATAGTAGGACTGGTTTTCTTTTCACAAAAGACCTTGACACTATACTTAAATGCTTAAAGGAATCACATAGATCCCCGATTAATTACAGTAGATATTTCATAACAATACACTAGTAGTGGCTGAAAAGTATATCCCAAGAGTTTTCCAAAAAGAGTACATTGGTGGTCAAAGTACTAACTATTTTATAAATATAAGTGGACGAGAATAATACTGATGTCTAATTTGAAGCACTATATTACTGGAGAAGAGAAACCAGGACGTTGAAGACTAAGGTAATACATATTCAAGAAGGAAATCTTGTAAAATCACTAAAAAGATAAAGACATCAGAGTGTATTGACCATGTTTATTAAAAATATTAATACTTATTTACTGACTGGCATATTTTTATTAATCATATACTCATTGTTTCTATTAAGTCTAGATGACCGTCTTGGTGATTTAAAATTATTTTCCAATATGTTCCTCTCTGTAAAATTCAGATTATATGCAATAATGTTATCAACCAGATTTAAGAAAATATTGAGAATTATTCTTAATACCACCAAGATCAAATATGCGACTATCATCGAATAAATAAGTTTCACCATATTTAGTTAGTGGTCTAATTATTGGTACCTATAGTTTTCCACTGATTTGTGATTATGCTAAACAAAACAGGAATATGGTGTTTGGCTATTTTTTTTGGCACATTTATTCGACTCTTTCGGGCTGCTCATCTCGATCACAGTCTTGCTCTAGTTACAATTCGCGATTGAATGAATCATGCATGGGCTTCCAATATGAGTAGCTGAGAGAATGATCAAACGACCAATGTTGGCCACGTCTCCTTCAGTAGCGATGGCGCACAGAGGTCTGATACATTATTTTATTCGCTCAACAGTCTTCAAGTCAAGAGTAACTATCTCTCTTTTGATTTTTGATATTTTACTAATATTTTTTTCTATCATAAGCCTAAATAAACTTTTGAATATCCTGAACTCGGAACCACTAAAAAAGTTATATGGAATTTGAAAACTGCTTCAAAATTAGAAAAACCATGATTTATCATAATTGGATTACAAAAAGGACGCAAAAATAAGTTATCAAAAGATTGTAGTACTATATTCGATCATTGTAATCTAACAAACGTTAAAGTATTTCTGAACTAAATAGTTTATTCATAAGATAATTTGAATTAGGATTTTTCGAAAAATAAATTCACCTTATTCTATAATATGTAAACATCGTTTCAAGAATCGTACCATGAAAAAAGTAACCCGATATTGAGTTCTTCTAATAATTATAGTTATTGACACTTTGAAACAGAATGATTCAGCCACAGCCTCAGCAGTGGATGTACAATTGGAAATTGAAGCTTCAGATTCGCTTACAGGTGTAACTGCTTATTGTTTATTAATTCATGATCGTATTATGGAATATGTACCTTTTACTAGAGAAGTAAGAACATTTGTATAAATATATTTAAGAATTAATTTATAACAATAAGAAAGTCTATAATTACATAATTTGTGTTCTGTATTTTAAATAATTATTTAATTTTAACCCTTTATAGGTTAGTGGTTGTTCTAGAAGCCACTTATGTTTGTACGGTAGATGGGCAGCATAATATTAATGAATTACAAATGAATGCAACTGTGGCATTTATAGAAGCCACTTGTAAAATGACAGTGCATGGGCAGAACTATTTTTTTTTTGATAACATCAAATTAGCTAACTATTACCATTCTACTTGTTGTTTGTAACATTTTTGTTTAAGGGAACATTGATGTATCATCAAAATCTTGCCCTGTGGGTGGTGGCTGAAATATGTGCCACCAAACTATAATGGAATATGAACTTTACTGGACTTAGAATTATTAGGATCTTTTAACTTTTTTCATACCTATAGCATACATTTAGAAAAATTAAATTACTATAAAATATAATTCAATCACAGTTTTTGCATGAAAAATACTCAACTAATAAAAATAATAATAAAATAATTCCAAATTATATTTAAAAAAAAAATCACTTGATTTTAAAACAACATTTTGAAAAATTCAAATAAAACAACAACCTAATATCAAATTTCTGTATTATGAAAAAATATAAAAAAAAAATACATCACTTCTTGAATAAAATAACATTATAACAATTTTTCAGACTTTTGAAAAAATATAAAATAAAAACATCACTTCTTAAATAAAATAACATTATAACAATTTTTCAGACTTTTGAAAAAAATATAAAATAAAAACATCACTTCTTAAATAAAATAACATTATAACAATTTTTCAGACTTATAAAAATTATATACTTTTTAGAATTACATTCTATAAACTTTTACAAAATAAATAATACTAAACAAATTCAAATAACATTATAACGATTTCTCAGACTTGGAAAAAATATAAAATAAAAACATCACTTCTTAGATAAAATAACATTATAACAATTTTTCAGGCTTGTAGAAGGACCACCATTAAATGCATTTTTTCTTTTACTACCTCTGGTTGTACTAGTTGGTGTATTACTTGCACTTGAAACACAAAGCACATCTTCGGCATCACTGTCGCCTCCAAAGTCTGAATCAAATGCCTGCTGGTCTGAAATACCATTTAATATTTCCAAAATGTTAATTTGTGACACATGTGGCATTTTTATTCAGAAGCTACAACAAAAAATAATTACCTATATAAAATACAACTAATATAATAAAAAAAAATATGTGTATAAATACATTTTTGTTATCAATAAATGTCAACTATTTGCAGTTTGCACTATATTATCTTCTTTGAGCAAATATTAACCTCGGAAAATATTATACCATTAAAAACAATAGATTGTAACGATTCCAATGGTGTATAAATTACTAATATAATTTTAATTTATAATATAATACTCAACAATCTAAAATAATTTTTTTTTATACTTTTATTGAATGTAAAAATACTATAAAACCATTGTTATCGATAATTTATGATATATAACCTATGTCAAATTGTATAAAGAATTATAATATGTACTTACTTGATTGATTATACGTTGTAGTAAATGGTAGTCACACTAATTTCGTAAAATAATTTTAAAATTTGAAATGTTAACAAGTTTTAACGATTAGTGGCTTGTACACAAGCCACTTTTGACAATAATGATTATCAATACGGTTATCACCATTATAATATTAAATAATTGTTGAACCACGATTATAAAGAACTTTATAGAAGTTCTTTATAATCGTGTGTTGAACACATGTTATTATGTTATCATTCTATCGTAATTGATAAGCAAAATAAAAATTAATTTATTTTTATGGCGGTTTTTATATTGATAATAAAGTGGCTACTATCTATGCCACAGTTCCGTTAAACTATAATTAACAAAAATAATTTTGATCATACGGGTCTCTTCAATGGTGGCTGATATGGAGGCAACAGTTGTCTTATTTGTCGTATTTAAAAATTAGGTTTGCCCGTTTAATAATAAGGTTTGTTGGGCAAAAAACATTTAGTGTGTAGACGGTAAATATTTTTGAGTAAGGGTTAAAACTTAAAACCGATTTTGAGTGTGCAAACTCCCTGTAATTTTAAAATACGGTAAATATTTTGTGTAAGGTTAAAATTCGTGGGAAAAAATTGTGTAATCTCCCTGTAAAATGCTTTACTGAAAATATTTTTGTGTGATCGGTAAATAGGTGGATAACGAGTGTGAAATCTATCCGTAATTTTTGCCACAATTTTTTTGTACGGGTTCAGCTAGTTATAATATATTGTTATAATTTATGATATACTATTTTGTGTTTTCACATGCAAGTACCCGTCGTTTTTATAAAATTTTTTTTTAAAGTTTATTTGTTTTGTGTGAAGAAGTACTTATGTGTTGATTAAAATGTGTTTTAATTCAAAATGCTTTTTTTTCTTTGAATCTTTATATTTCAAAATATGCTGGTGTTCTGTGTATTCATCTTAAATATTTATTAAAGCATAAAGTATATTACACTAGGTAATATAATTTAATAACTTTAGCGCTTTTATTTTTGGCAATGAAGACATTTCCTCGAAATCTGTGGAGGTTTCATCACGTGATGCTGCTCAACTAACTGCGACCCAGGATGTAATCTTCATATAGGTACAGTTGTTTCAAAGACTCGAATTTATTTATCGGACTATGTAATATTTTGTAATATTATATTAGTTAGTGACATTTTTAAAATATGTTTTTAATTGTCTTCAATATAAAGTTTAACGTAAAACTCAGATAAGATATTTGATTTTGATATCATCACTTTAATATATAAAACAAAAATTAATAGCATTAACAAATGTCCTAAATTCTGAAGTTATAAGTAAGTTATTAATACATTTAATAAAACATAACTAGTTTTAATTTTAAAATAATACAGAATATTCAAGTAATAAAAATCTATATAATGTAAACAAAAAATATTGGTTAGATTTACATTAAAAATTTTTCTACAATTATCTGTTAATCAATTATCAATATATGTTTTACAATGTAAAAAAAAATATATGAAAATTCATTTTTAATGGCCGCTATACACATTGCTTTTTTGGTTTGTTTTTTGGTTGATCCTGTAAAATATATCCTCAGGATCAACCAAAAAAGAAGCCAAAAAAGCAATGTGTAAAGCTACCATTAAAAATATATTTGGTTATTTTTTTACGATGTGATTCGGTTCCTGAGTCCTGACACTCTGCAGGCAAACGCCGCCGTATTAGCGGATGTCCTGACTACCATCGAGTCGGCAATAAAGAGTTTCGGGATGGTTTAGGTGCTGACCGCTGCGCCTCCACTCGTCTAGTCGTTTCACAGTCACCGCAGGCTGCTACACATTTTTTACTGTTCCGTTAATACGTCACCAAAATTATTTCGGGATTTAGATATTTAGTAGTAAAAAATTAAACGAATTAAAAAAAAAACATTAGCCGTCTTTCAATTATGTAATAAACTAATAAATAAACGTAAAGTTAATTATTATATTTTATAATATGTTATATTATTTATAAATATTATTAAAACAGCAAAATATATCCATGGTTATTGCTGTTGCATCGCTATTATTTCTTCGTTGGCAATTACCACAGATTAATTATAATACTAGGTTTTTATAGTGGATTGAGGTCTGTTCGGTTAGATATTTTTTGAAGACCGAGTGACCGAGTTCAAACTTGACCAGGTTCGGTTTCGACCGAATTCAACCGATTTCGGTTATTTCGGTTTCGACCGAATTAAAGTGATTTCGGTTATTTTGGTTTTGACTGAATTGAAATAAATTCGCTTTTTACCTAATTAAACCGATTTTGGTTATTTTGATTTTGACTGAATTTAATGAATTTTGGTTTTGGCAGATTTTGGTTACACTATAATGAATTTCATATAAGCATTCATATTAAATATAGAACGTACATGATGTAAAAACTAATAACTATATGAATTGGATAATATTAAATTCTGAAGTTTGAAATTTTCAAATTTTCGATTACCTAATTTTAAAACCAATACCTAATTACTTACTGATTTGGTAGTTTTCAACTATACGCGACTACGAGTAAAATAACTAACCTATAATAGATTTATTGAATATTATGCTTATCAGTGTAGTCTTTAAAAATAGTGACAGTTTTTATTTTTATCTCAATTCTTATTTATTTTTGTTTTTATCTGGTTAATTTCCTATTTTTATTTTGTGTGTTAAAATTAAATTATAATTATTTTACATCATAAATAATTATTGTAATCTCATATTTGCTATTAACATGATGCATACACGATACACTATCTATAAATGGAAAATGTTTAGGTTTCGACTTAGGTACCTATTACCTACTACCTAGTACCTACCTGTCTAAAAAAATACATTAACTATAATAACTAGGTACTAAACTACCTATACAATATCCATTGTAAAAATAATAATTATAAGTTATAACGAAACTTAAATTAGATATTAATTGTTTGTAATGTACTAATGAACCTACTTATTTCGACTTTCATTTTTTTAGAGTTTTCACTATTTTGAGTTTTTGACTACCTATCGAAGATCGAATTATCGCCTTGCTAGTCGCTAGTTCATAACATATAAAACATATTTAAATTTGTATCACAACAAAATTTTTAAATTTTCATTTGCTAAAATTCGTTTATTAAATGTTGTTTAAGTTTTAAAACTACCCATAAAACTTTAAAAGATGCCACATAAATAGTGATTGTATTTGCGATGCACAGTTTCAAATTTAGATGTAGAAAATAGAAATATATTATTTAGGTACCTAGCGTCTATATAAATATTATACAGATATTTTAGTTAAAGATTTGGACGAAATTCCATATTAAAACCAAGAATAACGATTTTAGTTATTTTGACACACACATACCATACATAATAATAGGACTTGCACGCTCACACGCACAGGTCGTTGACGGTTAACCGGGATATCACGGAGTTTTAAATGATACACAGTAAGCATTACACTAGTAAGCTTATCAATGAATGAATTGATACACAAATCAAAATGTGTGACCGACTACAATAACAAAGAGTTATGGCTTCTAAAAATTTTAATTTTTAACAGCTTTTCGAGTTTTGGGATTGTTAACAAAAATTCCCGGGAGCCTCAACCCTATACCCATATCTCGATATTATGTTGTAGTTATGACACGAGATTGGGTACAATTTTTATTTTTAAAAATACTCAACTTTTATGTCATAGTATGTATATAATATGTAATAAGTTATTACAATTAATATTTAATCGTAGGCACAAAGAATCCCTATTATTGTTGCAAATTAATATGAATACAAATCTGCATTTGGAATGATTGATCGTACTGAAAATCATTTTCAACGATACATTGATCATAATCATTGTATCATACGGATTTTATGTGAAAAACTATCAAAATATAATTCTTTCGACAAGAATAAAGCGAATGAATAATAAAAAAGAGAAAAACTACATTTATTTTTATTTTTACATACAATTATGTACAATATACTATTTGAACAGTGTTTAGGAGGCGTCGAATTTGGTCCACATACTTATAATTTATGCGATCACCACTGAAAAACCGAATGCAAATAGTAATCATAATAATAATAATGATGATAATCAAATCGAGCAGGGTAGGTACCTACCGTCGAAAATACGCGGTCCCCCACCCCATATCGTTTGGTCCAAATTGATATTAAGGTGAGGTAATTTACGATATGAAATTTGAAAAATGGAAAGATATCTCTAGAAAATAAAAGACCACTACGCGTAGAAAGCTTAAGCAAAAATTATTTCTGGTAACAAAATCACGGCTCAACTAGTAACTGAAATATCGTGAAGCAGGAAAAGGGACTCGGTATTTTTTATTTATATTATTCACTGTTTTTTTTTCATTCTCCTCGTTTGGCTAGTGAAAAAAAGAAAATTGAGAAAACGAGAAATATTATATAGACTTGTATATTTTTGTTGAATTATATCGTATAGTAGTCAAGGTTAGCGATATACAGGCGAAAAAAGAAGATAATATTATGTACTTTTGTAAATATATACAATGAAAGTTTTTTCGATTTTTTAAGCAAGTAGGTAAGTATCTAATTATTTTTGATTCCAATTTATGAAAGCAAAAAAAATTACCATGAAAATGTTTTCATTTTTATTCGAAAACGTCTAATTATTAACATTGTATTATAATATAAACATACTCGACTGCAATATAATAAACTGCTTACATCGGACAATGCAAGGATAATATGGACTAATTGACCGAACAAAAAAAAATCCAGAATCGGATTCGAAACCTTTATTTTAATAAATAAAGTACCGGAATTTTTAAATTGAATAGGTTCTTTTAGGTTCAAAAATAAAATAATTTTATTTATCATAATTTAATGGTATTACACTATTACTGTTTTGTGTATAAACTATGTATGATCATGTTATGAGTTTTATAATATTTCTCATACAATTAATTATCTGGAAAGGTATTTAAAATTATTATACATACTTTGTACCTAAATTATCTGGGACCGGAACCTTTATTTTTTTTTTATCAAAAGACCAGAACCGAACCTGAACAGTTATTTTATTTTTGGAGGACCAGTACCGAAACAGATACTAATAAATTCAAAAGGTTCCAGTCAATGGTAAATACACGTAGGTATAATATCATATTATACATATTGTCTATAGTTATTTATTTAGACCATTCGTATCCGAGTGAAATCACCACGTGCGAAAAACAGTCATCACGAGTGCATAATGTAATTATTTTTCTAACAGTGCCCGAAAAATGGTATAAAACTTCGTCCTTTTGCAGGATTACTCGGCGTTGGAAAATAGTATATCCGATGAGAACGCATCGTGTACAAGCAGCAGGTATACTGCATCAGTGATGGGGTACGTATAATGATCTCTCTCCCACACTCACGCTCACTCTCTCTCACCCTCTCACTCTCTCCCCCGATAACCCAAATTACGTCCAAAACGTGAAAACCTACGCTCGCGGCCCACTCTGTATATATTATAACATAAAAATATAAATATACAGTTGTATAACTATATAATATATAATATAAACCTTTGTGTGCCCGTGCGAGTGCGCGTGTGAATGCCTAACAAGGGAAGTGTGCTGTATAGTGTATAGGTACAAGGTACTTGAGACCCTCCTAATGTAGTACACTGATTCGTTATATAAATGTAATTGACTCGCACTAGACTACGATAACCCTCTGTTCGACCGATCTTGGGTAATCGAATTCGTTCAATTGGCCGTCGGCATAACATCACTCGCCCCAATACCTATACCTTTCAAATAATAATAATATAGTTCGTGACGGGCGAGAACAGACGCGTATAATGTATATATATATATTATTATGCCCGAATAGTAGAAAAAAAAAATTTTAAAAAAATAATATATAATATGTACCTACAATTTACGTCGTAGGGCGTAGAACGCTTATCGAAAATCTTTTCTTTTTTTATTTTTTTTCGGTTTTGTAGTGTCGCTGTGCAGCGATAACGCACAATATGTGTATCGATATGAAACGCAATATATTATAGGATCAATTTTAAAAGGAACGATTTTCGCACGCACGTCATGCGTTCATATTTTTATGTGTGACGCGTGTTAATAAAACACGAAAACCGTCAGTTTAATAATTCGATAGCGAGTTTTTTTGCTCTTTCCCCCCTTGCCCCGCACACACTTCCGAATAATAATCCGGACAGAGACGTCGTACACGAAAATTATATGTATATAATATATAGAGCGTGGAACGATTATCGAAAATTCTTTTTCTTTTTTTTAGTGTCGCCGCAGAGATTACACAATACGATATTATTGTGTATATCGAGATGAAATTCAATAGGATTCATTTTTAATGGAAAAATGTTCGTACGCTCGTCAGTTGTTAACATTTTGTGTGCGATAACCGTCGGTTTTATTTTTAATGGAGATTTTTTTTTTGTTATTCCACCGATACGGTTTCTCTGTTGTTGTATATACACTATTATAGTTGCATGGCACAAATTCGTGAAATAAAACACTATACTCGACGTAGGTATAGTAGTTGTAGGCTTATATTTTATCTGCTTACAGCCGATATTATAATATGTTATAGTGTCATATACGGACGCATCGTATAATCGGTATGGTTAGAATGGAAATAATATTATTCGGAAATAATAAAACTAACAATAAATATATAATAGAAGGACTAGAAAACAAATTAATTCATGAAAAAAACTTCGAATGCGTCACGAGACAAACACAGAAGAAGAAATGCAGGGAAGAAATACCCTACCATACATACACTATGGTACCTACCATACGTATATCGAGTATATCCATTTAGTTTGTTCGCAATATCTAGACATAATGAAGAAGTTACGTGGAGATAAACGACCGACCTGAGGGGTAAAAAAAAATATTATATTGAAATTCGAGTATTGAAATACTATCGTAATACCGTATTACATAAACGAAAATAATGGGTTTTAATACATTGCGCGTAACCAGGTATATTAATGTCGGTATAAATATCCGTTGTGTGGGTATTATATATATACACACTCTTTATATATAGCTTTTGGTCTCTTTTTTTCTTCTCGTCATCCTTTCGTTCGTTAGGGGTTTTTTTTTATCATATTCTGCCGGTCCTCCTTGTAGCTTTTCATATTTTATTCCGCCCACGTGCAAACACCGCCACCGCCGTCGCCGGATAGGGTTCAGATAATTTGGGAGGGGTGCAAAAAAAAAAAATAAGGGATCAAGAACCAGTGTGTACCCCACCCCCCGCCCGCGGGTGTGTAATGGAAAAATCACTGGCTTAAAAATAACAAGTTCCAACGTCGTGGTTATTACTTCGGCTTATTTATTACCGTTATTATTATTATTTTTATTACATGTTTTTGTGCCCATCCGATCGTCCGTTTTGTGAGAATGCCCTTTGGGACCGAATTAAAACCGAATGTATTAAAAACGTATTAAATGTATTAATGGACAACGAGTAACTATGCTGATTACGATCGTAGGGTGGCCCGAAATACGTATACAAACGGATATATTTATATTGTAGAAGTTATATACTTTATAATATACTGAAGATAATTTTCTTTTTCTCTCCACCGTATCCGTCTCTGGGGATCAATCGACTCCTATCAAAACCTATATATAATATATATAATGCCCAATGCTGCTGTCATGCACCACATTATTTATAATAAAAAGACAGTAGGTCGTAATAAATGAGAGTAGTATGAAATAGCTGGTTCTGGATACCCCCCCCCTTCACCCCTTCCAGCCATAGCCACCATGCATGCTTCCCCATCCCCCACCCCCAGCCTGTACTACGTCACCATGCTTCCCTACGTCATCATGCTTCTTTGCCCTCCCCACTACCCTCACCTGTCACCATGCTTCCCTACGTCATCATGCTTCTTTCACCACCACACTCCCCTCACCAGTACCGCGTCGTCCCGTGAATCCCTCACCCGTACCGCGTCGTCCCGCGAATCCCTCACCCCACTCCCCTCACCTGTACTGCGTCGTCCTGTCCTCCTACGTTATCATGAACTCCTTCCCCGCCCGCCACCACCAGAACTACGTCATCCCACTCCTCCTCCCACGTCATCATGGACCCCCGCGAGCGCCTATATATATATACACCACACAGTATATACTCTATGCATACTAAAGTATATACTCTGTACATGCTATAGTATATACGTATATTGTATATTTAGTATATTATCTCTATATATACTCTAACCATAGTTGAGTATATACCTATATATTGTAGCACCATTCATGTATATAAACATACCTACTAGTATAAACTCTATATATATATATAGGTATATATAGTTTATATTATACTGTGCAGGCATTCGAAAATCCACGCCGGATCAAAAATTTCATGTGGGCTATGTGCAAAGGTCTTTACGCAGCAAAGCAACCTATCGCGGAACACCAAGAATGTCCACACTAAGTACATATTACAATGCACGCTTTAACTATATATATATACATAGGTTATTAATTTAATTATTTCCGAATAAACAGAGGCCGCCAGCCATATTAATATACGCAATGCGGCTCGAATAGGCGACGCAATGGGTAAATTTTTAAAATCTCATTAAATAATAACAATAAAATTGTAATAATAATTATTCAATAATTCGTGTCAGCTGGTCCGACGGTTATAGACTGGGCGCCCGCACGCGCAACAGATATACCGCCCGCCCAGCCAGCAGCAGCTGTTGCTGTCCCGTCTCCGGCGCGGCGCGCGCACGCAGCTGGGCCGTCTCACGACGCCTCCACGACCCCCCGGCTTGCCTCCACGGCCCGTCCGGCCATCGCGCCGGTCATCACTGGTATCTCGGGTGCGTCTGATCGGACATTCGACCGTGATAAAGAGTGCCCGCCGCCCACTACGCTATCGCATCAATGTACGGAAAACAGTGGCAGAAACATTAAGCGTAAAAAGGTTCGTTTGCAATCGGTTAATGCGTTAGGCTTTATCGAATTACAATCTACGTTCAAACCATAGATAATATATAGAGGATAGGCCATTCAACAAATATTTGCGTGTCCAGAGAGCACCCAAGAAACCAGGGTGGTAGTATGATGGTCCAATGTTGTTCAACGGTTATCACCTTTCGTTTATCAATCATTTAAATTTCGCGTCTTTTTAAATCATAGATAATATATATTATCTATGTTTTAAATTGTCATTTTGAATATTCAAACTTCTTGCCTGTTATTATGAATTTTACTATTTAAAATATACGTAAATATTGTACCTATTACTTACCATGATTTAAACAAAAATTTATGTTCATAATTTTTTGACGATCGGTACGTGTCGTAACATACTGTATTATATATAGTAGTAATAATTTAATGACAATACCTTTTGCGATCATACCATTTATTATAAATTGTACTGTACCTGCCACAAAAGTTAATAAAATTGAATAGTGTACTCACTACTCAGTAAAATGTTTAATAATTCAAATTTTGTCATTTCGTACTCCTAATTCAAATACATTGACAAGATAACAGGATAACGTAACCATTGATAACTAGGTTACCATAACCAATGTTAGTCTGGGGCTCTTCCGGCACGCGAACCCATGGGTTGTAGGTATTGGAATAGCCTATCCTCTATATATTATCTATGGTTCAAACGCACGACCGTGTGGTATTTCCGGGGTTGCAAACGTTATAATAACGTTATGATTATAACGTTATATTTGAAAAATAACGGTTGGAATTTGTAAACGTAATTATAACGGAAAGCGATAATCAAAAAGTATTAAATACCTCAAAACAAACTATAACGAATAACAAAATATATAATATATCATTAAACGAAAAATAACGCAAAATGAAATTATTTGAAAATTTAAAATCCATTTATTTAAAAGTAAGGTACCTATATTGGTTTCGTAGAAATATATTTTATTTCATACTATTTATTTTTGTCTTGGAAATAAATTTAAGAATTGATTATATTATATTCCGTATCCGGGACATTACCTACCCACATTTGTTGGAGTTATTGATAAATTATAAACTGAATTGCCACTAGCAAATACCAACTTAGTAAAACAATAATTATTATAATTATTAATAATAATTAATGATGCCCCGATATGTTCGTTGTAGAAGTATAGAGTATAGACTTATTTTGGATTCACTCTGTACTTTGTCTACTCTGTTGTCTGTACTACTGCGATCCTCTTGTGAGTGTTAAAGTATATACTGTTGTTGAAACATCCGTTTTATTTATATTAGCAACATATTAAAACAAATAACGGAATTATGGGTACAGTTATTTTTTAACCCAGTACCCAAAATTCAAAGGTGGGCATTAACTTGTTAAAAAGTTAAAGTTAAGTTAAAAAGTTAATTTTTTTTAACTTATTAACTTAACTAGTTAATTATTTTTGTCTTTGGCTTATTGAATTATTCAGCTAAAATTTCCAACTCAATTATATAAAATACCAAGGTGTTAGGTATATAGAATACCATTTATACCAATATTAAATATTAATAAAATAATAAATTATAATTTTCTGGTAATTATGTTAAAAAAAATTAACTAGTAAATTACTTACTGGATTGTTGGAAAATGCTGGGTAAAATAACGTTTTTATTCTAAATAACAATGAACGCTAAACTTGGATAACGTTTTAATTCTGAATAACGATAAACGCAAAACTTGTGTAACGTTTTAATTGTAAATAACGTAAAACGAAATTTTTTTCAAATGCAAGCCGTGTAGGTAGTTACCTATTATAGGTCAATATTTTTTTAATACCATAGATAAGTATATAATATGTCTTATAATACCTAGACTGACATACCGTCTCCGCTCAGAATCATTTTCCTTATACAATGATATTATATCGTCCGATATATTTATATATTATATTATATTTTGTACTTTTATGAAATACCTTGAACACAATATTTTCATTGTTGTTTGTGGCAATGTGATGGATTGGGCCAAAGACAAAAAATATTTATTTTAAAAATGACCAAAAAGAATCTAACTTTAAGATAGTAACATATTACATAATATTAATAATATTATACAATATACTATACTACTATATCCAATAGGATAATGTTCGTATTATGTACCTATTATACCTATTATATATTTTATTTTTTTGTGTCTGAACGTCTGAAGAAATTTTTTCAAGTAGAAAGATTCGATTTTAAACTTCGAAGGTGGTTTCAATTGGTCACCAAGTGGATCTATTGGTGCTTTTGAAAATGTCCGTACTTACTTTTACAAACAGGATGGAATCGTAAAAATCGCAAATTTTTTTGTCAACTTAATATTGTCTTTATTCTTCGCTCTAAATAGTTTTTCATCGTAATTCATAAGCAGATAAATTCCAATTTAAATAAATTACCTAATACATTTATTACAGCATAATATTTACAATTATTTAATAATATTGTTATAAACTACTAATAACTAGAGATGATAAGCGATTACAAAAGTGTATGCGTTTGTTAGCTAGGTATCCAAGTTCTTTAATCATCTGGTCAAATCAAATTACGCACACATTAGTAATAACTACTAACTAGGTATTACTTAGTTACATTGATTATATACTATTATCGTAAACCAATGCTAGTAGTGTTAATCTACCTATTGAATTCTATTTGCATTTATTAATACCTATGGCAAATTTATTTCCTCAGTGATTTCCGTGAATTTTAATATTGGTACAAATTAAATTATTTAGAGTTATTTGGATGATATATATTCGCTAAAAACGACGTCCGATATTTGTTTTTTTTGTACTCGTTTGTATAAACGGTTGTATAAACGAATATTCTGACGATTTTTTCTATAATGTAACAGAATGTACCAGGAACGTATGCTATGATCGTGATTGCCGTTGAGCGAGTAGCTAAACTGCTTCCGCGCTTCGTCGCAACAGCCGCCGAGCAGCCGCCGAAACTGAAGAAAAGTTACGAATAGATCATGAGTTCCTGATACTAGTGGTACTTCTTGCACCTAGTTTTTAGATTTAGTTGGTAGTTTTACACTTTTACCAAAACCCCACAGACAAACAATATTATTGAAATGAAGTATTTTATGTCACGATGCGTGGCTAGCCGGGAAAAAACGTTCCTGACGAAATACTATAATATTTATTGAACAGTTATTTTAGCCAAAACAGCCAATTTTTATTCCATCATACTAATCGATCTGGTAATGCGATAATACTTTTAAAAACAGATTTGAATTCGTTATTATGTCTACTTGAAATGGGTCAATCCACTTTTCACAATTTCACCCCCCAAACCTCTAAAAATGTAGCTTGAATATTTTAAAATTTCAAAATTTTCAAACGTTGATTATTCGGAATTTAAAGCAGAAATCTTAAAATTTGGACTGACTGATCTCAAATGGACATTCTAACGAATTCAGATCAGTTGTCTGAAAGATTATCGCATTATTAGATCGATTGGTTGGATTTAACAAAAAAAAAAAAGGGAGCGATAAGTTATAGTGACGGTCAGCGAAAGATTGATTATAATTTATAAATATCTTGCGTATATTGATAATTTAATAAAATTATTGATAATATATAAAATATAAAATATTTTCACCGTTCACGAGCTGTTTTTTCGGACATTTTCAGTTAAAATTTTTAAAATTTTTTTTTCTATAATTGTCAATAAATTTTATTGTTGGGTCAAAAAGTGTGAAAATGTAATGCGAAGCTCCTGATATATTGTTACTACAGCAGTTGAAAAATATTAAAAACATCTGGCACAATTTTTTATACAAGTTTTAAATTTCAAATTTATCAAATTTAAAACTTAAAAAATGATTTTGTAATAAAAATGTATAAAATGTTCAATTTGTATAGCTAAGCATTGAAAATTTAAAACAAGGTTCCACGTTAGTCAATTAGTCTGTAACCAAAAAATTTCAAAAAAATAAGAACACAGTTTTTTTAAAGTTATGTTATTTTCTAATTTGGACGAAATTACATATTGACAGGGGTGAACTGGCTATTTGTGGCCCGGGGTGCAAAATTAATTAGGGGCCCGTAATTTTTTTTCAAACCTACCTAAATTACGAAAGTGTCCTTAATTTTATAAGTAAATATAAAAAAAAAATTAAGAAGAACATGTTATTTATTTGTAGAGATGTTCAAATATGGTAATTTATTTTTGTTTTGTATGATACCGTATTATACCAGTATTATATCTTGCAGTACCTTAAATTTTAGAAAATTTAACAAAGGGGAAAATGGATTAATTGAAAAAATGGCTATAGAAGGTCAGAAAACATTTAAAAAACACATAACACAAGAATTATTTTATACCTAATTCACCAAATTAATATTTAGTCATACTACCATGATGTAAGTACCATATGTCGATTTACCTAGTGACTTAAATTTAAAATATTTTAATTACAATTCACATTTAATAGTAAATTATATTCTTAAAATATCAAATAAACTTCAAAATAAATTAGGATTTGAGTAAACTTATTATCTGCCAACTAGGATATAAATATAGGTATTTACTAACTTTTCGGTTCCACATTTTTAGATTCTGAGCGGAGCGATGAATGTATCGATTTTACAATGATGTGTGTGTTTTTTTTTTTTAATTTTTAATTTTTTTTGTGTCTGTCATCACGTTTTAGGACAGTAAAAGTGCTTGGATTTTCTTCAACAGTAGCTTTTCTGATAGGAAAGTGAATCTAGTTGGTACTTTGGGGGGTCAAAAGTAAAAATTTCAAAGTAGTTTTCACAAGCGCCGGGAAAAACAACATAAAAATTAAGTAAAAACGGGAATTTTTACGCAAAATTGGTTTTCCGAAAAATCGATTTTGGTTATTGGTGTAACTCTAAAACAAATGAACGTATATACATGAAATTTTCACTGGTTGTTTATATTTGCATTTTCTATACACCATAACATTTTCAAAATATTTTGATTTATTTTGAACTGTTTAGGGACATTTTCATTTTCCATTTTTTTCTAAAAATATCAATA